AGCCACTAGCAATTGTGGAACTCATCCTGTTGATACTAAGATCACAGAACATCACACTTGGCGAGTTTCTTGTTATGCTCTTTGGGGACACCACACAATTCAGTACATCAGCAAAGGAGATGCTCAAGTGGTTTGTAGGGGGACGTACAGTGAAGGGCCACCCTGTTGATATTGTCAATGCATTGTACAATCATCCATGGGCCTGGCCCCAGCGATCTTATGAACCTACCTATGGCACATTTCCAGAGCACGCTATTCCAATGATGGACACTCAGCCAGGGGCACAGTCAGACAGCAAAAACACCTACAGCAAGTTGCAGCAATACTTTGTTGCATGCACAATGGACTGCATGGAGAAAGAAGTCAGGGCTCTACTGAAAAGCCCTTATTTGCGCACAAGGGACACAGTAACAAGCTGATTTAGCTGGGATGCAGTCCTGGACTTCTCTATTGACACAGTCCAGAAGTTGGTCATCAGCGCTGCACCTGTGACCTGGATGTTGCTGATGTGGATCACAGTTGGTGGGGAGAGAGCGGAGCTACTGAAAGAAGCAAAGTGTCAGGGACAGCTCCGAAAGCGGCGAGGTCCCGGCGCAAGGGACTTGATGGGACAGGTGTCGGCTATGTGTAGCGATGGTCCTGTTGCGGGGTGAGCGTCCCTGACCACTTAGTCTGAAGTGGGAAGTTGATTATCATTAAAAAGGGGGAAGCTACAGTACTTACCTGAAGTGGGAAGTTGAGAAGAAGGCTGCTTCTTCTGTTCCCACCCCAGGTGCTATTATATGCATGCGGTCAGGGTCACGTGGGAGGAGCCACGTCATCCCTGCACACAGCCACACTCCCCTGGGTATCTCCATGGGAGATCCCGGAGGTGTGCCGCTCTGTGAGCGGGAATGCACGTGGCGATCAGGGGAGTGGGGTTAGGTGTGTTAGTAATACATAGAGAAAGGGAAGTCAACCATAGAAGGAAATAGAAAGAAAGAAGGGAAGAGGCAGAGGGTGATAGCGGGGAAGTGGAGTAGGGCAGCGTGGCGCGGGGTCAGGTGGGGTGTGCCCTGACACAAAGTCAAGGGACACTGGGAAAGGATGAGGGGCAAACCACATACAAGATCCCTATTTAGTGAGTGAATGAATTGATACCTGCTAGCAAGGTGACTGATGGCCATTTGAGGGGTGTGCTGTTGCACTGATGGTGTTGCTGTATTTTCGAAATAAAGGGTTGAATAAGTTCCAGAGTATCATGGGATTACTTATGTTCTCTGAGAATCCTTTGAAGTCCCTACAATCGATTACTGGTCGCATCGGACTCGCAGTTGCGAATAGCTCAACCCACAAGCACTTATACTCAATGAGCACGGTTGCATCCGAGAAAATTCGCAGTACAGGGACTGACTGGGTCGACAAACTCACCTCATTCCATGTTGTCTATGATAATATCAATCAGTACCACAAAGATTGGCAGCCATCACTGTCTTCACAAACCTCAATGGAAAGTGGGACCACTGCTACTGTCATATCCATACAATCCCGACCTCTGCTCCGGGCTCCCGGAACTCCGAACCTGACTTCCGGAGTCCTACTTCCCTTCCATCACCTTCTCCTTGCCGACTCCCAAGAGGTTATCCCACCTCCGGCTCCAACACCACCTTTGGTCCGACTCCGGAACATTCCGGGTCCGACCTCAACCTTGACACCTCCCAGACGAGCATGCAATACCTATGCTCCCGACTCCGGACCTCCACTGAAGGAGGAGAACAGAAATCCTATAAAAGGCTGTTCTTTCTTCTGATACTTATATGTTAGTATTGGTACTTTAACTCAACCACTGTAGCATTTTGGTTGCTTTGTGTATTGATATTTGTATGTGTTACTGATTATTTGTGTGTGCATGAAATTCTCAGGGTTCAATTCACTTGTCTACCTGATTGTTCCACACGAAAATCACGCTATAGACCTACTATTTTTAGTTGTTTCACCTCTGTCTTGTCACTTTTAACTCGGAGCGACTCCAACCAACTTGACTCAATGTCACTATTTCTTAACTTCTTCTTAACTTTTTACTGAGGGTTGATCACTTTTACTCAGATGTGATCTGAACTGCACACTTATACTAATAAAACTTAATTTTTATTAGGATGCCTTATGACCTATGAGCCAGAGCATGTAGGGGAGAGGAGTAAAGAAGGAAGAGGGGTCAGACCAGAAAATGTGGTCTTTTATACCTTTCCTAAGGGCTCTGTTTTCACATGTCACTTTACTATTTACATTGCTGAGTAATCTTATATTGAGCTTAGCAATCCTCTTATGTAAGCGATCAGCATCCCATTCTGCTTCTAGAACTTTCTGGAAGTTTTGGTGTGGGAATTAGCCAATTGCATTGTCTAACACCCATCATGACCTTGTTTACCCTTGTTTACTCACTTTATTCTAAGTCACATGTCATGGGGTTATTTGTTAGCTTAAGGGTGTAGCTTTCCGTCGGTATAAACAACAGTAAACTACGAGGATTATTTATGAAGATATGAATTTTTCAAGATTTAATTTTGAGGTTCTCCAGATTGCTTTGGCATTAGCTCATCCATTTTCTTACAATTAATTCTGGATAAATTATGCCTCGTTCCTGGACTCAAACTCTTTTGTTTCGAATTTCTAGCTCATCCGTTTTAACCACAAACTCAGGATGTTTGAGCCAGTCTTCTCTGCAAGTGTGTTTTAATCTTGTTAAATCCATTTCTCCCTCAATTCTTCAGATTTTAACATGAAATCTTTTCGAACACAGACCTATACTTTAACTCTTTAAGACCGACAAATATTCATATTTTTTCCTATTTTCCTCGTATAAATATTTCCAATTCTTTCATCTTTTCCTCGTACCCGACCATTTTTCATTATATGAATGCCTTGATTTTCTTCCGATTTCTCTTTGTCATTCGTTTCGTACGTTCGTAAAACTATTTTTCCACGTTACCACGAATTTCTAATATTTTATTTGATACAGGAAACCTTGTTTTTGTTTTCATGTGAGTTTATTTGCTGTTTTTCTTCATTTTCTGAACCATCTTTTAATCCCTAGACTTGAAAGTTCGCGTAGATACTCGCTCCATCGACTCTGTTCTTCAGTATTTTTCCGATATTTTATTTCAATTCATTTTGTTGAGTTATGATTTTATTCCTATTTTTATTTCTGGTCCGTGGAGGTTGTATGATTTTTATCCAATTTTCTGTGATGGTTTCTGGTTGTTTTAGTGTTGTAACTTTTATATTCCTACATATAGGCACAGCTGAGCAATTGCAGTCCCTTGCAATTTACTCTAATACCTAGATCTAGGTTTGTTTCATGCAATTATGGCTTTAGGTTGCACCGGGATATTGCACTTCGGACGTTCCCTTGTTGTTGTAACGTGATCTGTTTGCTCTTGCGCATTTCGCACGCCTTCGGCTTATTCCGTGCTCGGTTCCGCTGGTTCCCGTGCCCTTTTGGCCTCAGTTCCCACGCACGCGCACTCCGCTATTTATGCTAAATGGGCCTTTATTGTCTTTTCACTTCCCTTATGGTGTCTAACCTTTTGCTTTAACTCTACTTAGTTCCTTTACTTTGTTTATCTTTTGCGACTTCAGAATCTCTTCTATAATGGTCTGTTTTCCTATGAATTTTATCTGACACGAGCCTGTTATCCTCTTTTGAATCTTTAAGATAGCGCATTCGAATGAATAAATAAATAAATAATAAGTTTGCGGTCCATTCCGTGATCTTCTATAGTTATTTAGGATGCTCATTGGCTTTCTCCTCAGCGATCTTGGGAATTCTTATCCGCTTTTAAATCAAACCAATAAATAAAAGAAACCGGAGTCGTGATTAGTCGTGATTTGAGGATTTCAGTCGGTACAGACAAATTTCACAGAAGTACAAGTACAAGCATTCTTTAGCGATTCCGAGCATTTCCAAACACGAAATTTCCCTATTTAATCAAATGGTCGGACCACCATTTCTCTTCGTGCTCATTCACCAAAGTTTCTCCCGGAAAATAAATCGCATAATGATCGCGGTAATTCTCCAAGCCGAGCTGAAGTTCTTCGAGAGTTTCAAGACTAAAATGCTTGAGTTTTGAATAAATTCTTTCTTGATAAATGCGGTAGTTCCATAGATTGATGGGGTTGTTGTGAGGCTTGCAGACTTTTTGTTCGGCCTTTCCCAACCATTCCATAAGCAGTCCTTGTGCATGACGAAGTTCGAGTTCCATCTCATGTACTTCATCCATAGTGTTGCCTAAGGCGGCTTCGAGGAGTATTCTACCGATTAGGAAATCGGATGCTTCTTCAATATTTCGAATAGATTCGCGTTTACTGTGTTGGGGTCGGAATAAATTTCCGAGGCATTGGGGATTTCGGCGCATCTGTTTCTCGTCTTGAATAATGTCCATGCACGTTTCCACGGTCTGCCAAGCACAGTCCAAATCCTTTTCCAACTGAACTAGATGGTTGGTCAAGAAGTTGCTGACGGTCTTAACTCCTTTAGGAAAACCCTGATCATGGTCGGTGCACATTGTCTTAATTAGGTATTCGGAAAAAGTGGGAGAGAATTTATATTCCAGATTATATTCGGATGGCGGTGTTGGAACCATCCATTCGGAATATTCGGGAGAATGTAAGGTGGGATGATTAATTTGAGTTCCCCAAGCGGTAAAATCGGGTTCCTGCCATCCACGATGTTCGGAATCGATAACCATCAGGTCTGAACTCTCACTTATGTCTTGTATGATTTAAGGTAAATAAAATCGTTGTTTCTCAAGTCATTCCCACATGTGCTCACCAGCAGGAATTTCCGTCTTCGGATTCAAATACTTGTCACAATCTGCATGAATCCTGCGAGTTAATCCGGTAAGAATTTCGCTGAGCTCTTTATCGGAACAATCTTCAAATGGCAATTCATCGGCCCCCTTGGACGAAGCTCTCTTCCTCTTCTTAGGATTCTCAAGATGTTTGACTAATTATTTATTTAGTCAATAATTTTCTTCCGGGTCATGTGGCACATACGGGTAATTTCCGTGTCGTATGTTCTGCTCTTCTTCTTCTCTTCAACCACCAAGTTGTAGCAAGCAAGGAAAGGTTGGAAGGACATTTTAATGAGTCGAGTAGTCACGATGGGACAGATAGGGTAGCAGAGGTGAGTAGCCAGATCAGTCCAGTTTCTTGCTCCCCTCTTCACCGCTAACTTTTCGCCCATTTTTATAGACGTCGACGACCCATTATCCTGGATTCTGCTCCTTCTACCTGGTTCACTTTCGCTTTTCTTGTTCAACACTCTCTCTCTGCATGGTTTTTCCTCCTGATTTCCTTCGTCGCCATTCCTCATGTTCTTTCGTCGACTTCAGTATTTTCCTCGCGATTTCCTCACGTTTCGATTTCCCATTACGCTCATGGCCATCAATCTCTCCCTCATACCGGACATCATCAAACTCATATCCGCCTAATTGCATTTGACCTAATTTGTGTCCAGTTCGTGTCGGTTGTTCATTAATTGCTCATGACCGCCTGGTCTCCTGTGGGTCTCCTAGCTCTTCTAATATCCGCTCTCCTGTCGGTCATTACTCATCTTTCATAACCGTGTGCCTTTCATTCTTTCGTCATAACTCGTTGTCAGGAATGCATCAATATCCGGAGTTTCTCCAATCAAATATCCGCCAGCTTTCTGACTTTGAAGTGCTCCTTTCTCTCCTAATTTTCTTATCTTTGTACAGCATTTCTAACTTTTTCCTAGCTCTTCTAATATCCGCTCTCCTGTCGATCATTACTCATCTTTCATAACCGTGTGCCTTTCATTCTTTCGTCATAACTCGTTGTCGGGAATGCATCAATATCCGGAGTTTCTCCAATCAAATATCCGCCAGCTTTCCGACTTTGGAGTGTTCCACTCCTTTCTCTCCTAATTTTCTTATCTTTGTACAGCATTTCTAACTTTTTCCTAGCTCTTCCTCCTTTTACTCCTTTGATTTGTTCCTTCCGACGATACTGACACTCTTTTGACTGCTCCTAACTGATCAATCTTACTCAGATTTTCGAATTCCGTCATACTCAATATCGTCGGTCATGTAACACCTTCGGCCTCTGTTTTGCGTGAATAACCGCTCGTTCTCAGCTCTTGCTTGTGCGATATGACATCATCACTTTGTTATCGTGTACTCAAGTCCATTACCAACACTCCATCCGATCATGTTCGATATCTTTGTTCTGCTATCGCTGGCTCTTCGTTGGGGGTTCGATGTCACAGTTTGAGCCTAGGCAACTGGGCTCGCTGTAACATGTTCTCGATCTCATATCGCGTTTTTACATGATTAATTTTTGAAACCCCTTCACATTCGATTCGCCGATGTGTTGGTTTCTCTTTTCTCTATCTTTTATTCTCCTCTTTTTGTGTCGTGCCTTGTTTCATGTACATTACTCAATAAGTTATTCAATATATGAATTTTTTTTTTTTTTGAATATCCTTAAGCGCGGAAGTGAATGAATTGAGTTCGGAAAAAGAAAGATTACAATATAGTTGTTGGATCATGAAACATGAGGTTCCAAGCCGCAACATGTGTAACCAAGAGAAGGAAAGTTAGTCTTCGGCTTCGGGCCAACATTCCTCCTCAAATTCCTCTTCTGTCTCGGATTCATGTATGTAGAATATTTTTGGACGTTGCTCGGAAATTCCAGTCTCCAGTCCGATGCAGTCGCCAGGAGGGTAGAATCGGTATGGGTGAAATTCTCCAGGTCCACTGGTATATATGATTTGATGGATCAGTTTGATCGATCATGTTCTAATACCTCTTGACGTACTTTGGAGTTCGAGGCAATAAGTTCCAAACGTTCTCATCCCCCATTTCCTTGTACAGTTCCTCTACGTACTCCTTGACTGATAAGGGTACTTCCCTTGGGATAGTCCGTTTTACTGTTCAAAGAGACACAGGGTCTTCTAGTGGCTAGATGATTCTGGTTTATGAGCTTATCTTTACATTCCAGTCTGATGTCCTTACCACGTCTTGTTTCTCTCTCAATTCTTGTATAGCTTTCCTCATGCTGATCACCACAAGGATGAGAGCTATTACAAGTGTAATGGCGAGAGTGATTGTAGTTGTGATAGAGGCCATCTTTCTTAGAACATGGTTTGGGGGTGCTCGTAAAAATTCGAGTTGGTGTATTCAAATAATTTCTTTCCCATGCCAACACCTTCCATTCATCTCATCTTCAACTTACAATTCTTTTTGACTCAACTTCTTGGTCTAAAATACCAAAAAAATGTGAAATGTAATGAAAATGTTTAGTCTTGTTTTTATGGATTTTCTTATGTTTTTGGTGATGGTAGAAAAATAACTCTTATTTTTCTGAAAATACATAGGGTTCATGGAGAAATGTTTGGGGTCAGGGGATATGCTGTTCCTTCCCTATCTCCATTTCCTTCTTCCGATCACTAAGATTCATATGAGACCCATTCAACCTGCTTGTTGATGGATTCCAAGGCATTAATGTCTCATTCGTGAATACTTAAGTCTCGACGATGAGAGCATACCTGCATCTTTACACCATCTTTCACCATATGACTCATAGCCTGAAGCCGACTCTTGCTCAAACAATTCATCTTGACTACTGTGTTCCTCTGGGTGAGGTGGCATTGCTCTGTCCAGCCCGAGAACATTCATGGTGGACGTTTGAGATTCTCTCCTTCCATATTCCCTTCCTAGGCTCCATATTGCAGCAATGAGAAGGCTTGCTAAAAGTGAGGTGACTAGGATAGTGAATAAGGTGAGAGGTTCTTGAGCAATCATTGATTCTGGTGTTTTCTGAGCTATCAAGCGCAAATTTCAAGTAACTTCGGCAACTACCGATTTTTCTCAAAAATTTTCACCAAGCATGTGACAATATTTTAACAGCTTTACATGCAATTAGTCTCTTATTTTCAGAACTAAACAATCTCAGTCGCTGGTCTAGCTCGTCTCGATATTTAGTTTCTGATTTTTCCACAATTCTTGGATACATACCCATCTTTATGAGACGTGTCTGTCCTTGTCGATGAGATTGAAATCCCAGATATACGTCCTGTGGTTTGCTGATCCTCTTCTGGCATCTGTAAAGGCTGAGGGATGTTGACCCTGCCTTGAGGTCTGAGGTGTGCCAAAGGTGGAGGTTGCAGGGTTCGCAATGCAATTTCTGTTGGCCTTTGATGAGGTTGTCGTTGCCTGATCCAGGCCGATTGTTACGGATACGGAGTCTCCAACGACCATATCCGTCGCATGGTCAAAGACTTCCCCTCTCTATCGCTCCTCCCCTCTTTCTCCTTTCCATCCTCTATCCCGCTACCCTATCCTCCTTACCCGTTCTACCCCTTTCCCCCCCCTCGTGCAAAGCTTTCCCCATTGGGGTTTTGGTGCTGGCCGAGGTTGTTTGTGTTTCGCGGGATTTCCCGCGACCTTACCATTTGTAGATAGTCACGCATCATGTACGGAAACCGCCGAAGGCGGTTCCCGCTAACTAACAACTGCTCTACAACTGTCTTGTGTACTGTCTTCTGTAACAACCCTCCCTGTGACTCAACTGAACCTGTGTGACTGTACAACTCTCAATATGTCTTATAAGTCTGGTTATATCGAGTCCTCTAACGGCCCTCGCTGCGAGAACTCGAAGTCGAGAGTCGAAGACTCTCAACGTGTGTATCGTCCTATTGAACCTGTACCCTATGGGTCTTCATCACTCCGCTCTCCCCCCAGTACTCAACATACGACGTCCCATCATGATCATGGTGATCGTGAACACTATGAGGCCCACTTACCCGCGATGCCGGCACGTTCGCTACACGAACGCCAAGTAGCCACCCATCCACCGTCTGTTTCTTCCTTTGCCAGTCATCATATGTCCCCGCCAACGGTACGTTCCCTTTGGGAACGCCAAGTCACCGAAGGCCCTAATAGTCAGCCCTCATTGCACGCCTACTATATCAACCCGCTACCGGTACGTTCGCACTGCGAACGCCAAGTACCCGATGGCAACTACGCGAAGCTCTCACCCATCTCACCAGTCGCGACCTCGCACACGGTACGCTCCATTGAGGAGCGCCAAGTATCTGTGGCTGACCCATCTGTCCTGATATCTCCGACTATCAATCATCAATCCCTTAATAGCTCACTACATCACCCATCGCGATCGATGGGAATTCGATCGTCCACTCCCAGGTCAGACTGGGATCACTCATCGATTACACTTCCAGTTATGGTACAAACTAGACATGACTCTCGTCTTCCCACTATAAGAACGGATCGAGGAATGGGGAATTTCCCCCATCCCCGTAACACCGATAGATTGTTTTGCCTGATGCGATTCCACTGTTCCTTCACCCATTCTGTTGGGCATTCCACTATGTAGTACCATAGACCATCATGAAACTCTGGTCCCACAGACGTAACGATACAAAGGACTATAAGTCCAAGTATGACTAGCGTAGATATGATTATGATCACCTGTACCAAACATTAGGACTCAAAAATAAATAACACTGATAAAACTCAATGTATAAATATCCATTTTCGACTAGTGTAGGAGACAAGTAGTTTTCTCCAAGTGCTGGCACTAAGATGATATTGAATTGTGAAAGTGACTAATCATGTGATCCTTTTTCTTCTAAGGTTCTCGTGATTGTCGATACTGCTCGAATTCCTCATCTGAAGAATCTTTGAATTCCCTATTTTCTCGTATATTGATAGTATGCAACCATCTCAGACTCACTGGCGATGGTGTGAATAACTGTCCACAAGAACTATTTTCATCTTTATACCTAAGATATTTTCCTGTTTTTGGGGGTACTTCATGGTCTCTATAATCAGTTCTATTTTTCGTTTCTTGAGCTGCCTCTTTGATTCGTTCTTCTAATGGATCTGGCATTCTGGGCATCCGTTTTCCTTCTTTTTGTAACTTTTTACACAACATCCATCTGTCCCACACTCTTTTCCAATGGTCTGCTTCGTCTATTAATTTTTGTTCTTTTTCTGTTATTTTGACTTCCAACTCATAGAAACCGAGTTTCCTCTCCAATTGATAGTTCAAGTTCTTCCATGTCTATCGTCTCTGGGTCTTCTGTCTCTTCCTCTACATCGGCTAATACATCCTCTTCATCCATTTTATTATTCTCTTCCTTTCTGGCTTGTATTTCTTGTCTTCCTCTGTGCCATTCTTCAATGACTTTCCATTTCCCTGCTTCTTCTGGGATTTTGTCATGTAAAATAGGCTCTTTATTGTCTCTGAAATAAAACACTTTGACTCTCTGAGCTGCAATCGGTTTAGATAAGACTGTTCCATCCAGTTCAGCAAGAATATAAGCACCCGATGGTCTAACTTCCACTACAAAGTATGGGCCAAACCATCGAATGGCACCCTTATTTCCCTGTTGGTTGTCTAGAAAGCTTTTATATACCAATACTATGGTTCCTGGAGGTATACTCTTCTTGTACTGCTCCTTACCATGCTTCTCCCAATAGGCGTCAGCAGTACGTTTCCTTTGTGCTGCTAAATCCTTGGAAGCTTGGTCCATGTTTGCATCTCGTTCTTTCAACTGTTCCATTCTTAGGGCCAATAATCCAATTGTGTCTTTGACTTTATGCCAGTCTAATATATGCCATGTCCTCTCTGAAATATCAAATGGGAATAAGGCTTCTTGTCCATACAGAAGATAATATGGAGAAAATCCTGTAGCTTTACGAGTAGTAATCCTATCTGCCCATACTGCAAAGAAAAACCACTCTGGCCACTTGTTAGTATTTCCCACACATTTCTTCCACATAGCATCTACCCAATACCTATGACCAACTTCCACCATTCCATTGGCTCTAGGGTTCTCTGCCGATATATGGATAATAGGAACGTGATAGCTTTTGACTAGTGTTTCTACTGCATCCTTGAATTCTGAACCATTATCAGTTACTATCTGAGGGATACAACCATAATGACACATAATATCCTCAAATATGAACTTTGCTATTGCCTTTGAACTCTTATTACAAAGCATTCTGGCTTCTAGCCATCCCGATAAGTCATCCCTGGCATCCACAATGTAATTGTATCCAGATGCCTTAGGCATATGTATAGTGTCCAATGCAAATTTTCGTAAAATAGTTCTGACATATGTAGGTCTAATGGGAATCTTTGGTCTATAACTGGACCTAAATTGACATTCCTCACATGTCTGACAAAACCACTTCACAAACTCATACATTTTAGGCCACCATACTTTATCAGAGAGGTTCTTAAATGTAGGATTCCTACCTCTATGTCCTGCTTCATCATGAGCTTTCTGACATAGTTCTATTCTCTTGTCTATGTCCAATATTACGAGTAGTGGAGGTTGTTGTCTGTTACGACGCCACAATCTTCCATCTCCCCAATAATACTTTTTCACCAACATTAGAATTTTTCTCTTACCATGAGTGTCTTTAGGTAGTTTCATCTCAAGCAAATAATGGGTTGAAAATACTCCCTTTCTCTCTCTGGGTCAAATGGCATGTCTAATGGTTGCCTAACACCTTCTTCCTCTATTTCTCCTGACAAGGTTTCATGGATTCCTTGCCAGTTAGGACTGTCTGGAATCTCATCCTGATACACTAGTCCTTGTGGTCGCTTCCACTTAACTTCTAAGGGGAAACATTCCACAATGGGATTGTTCAACCGAGATAACTTCTCAATTGTCCACAGATCTTGTGATTCTTCATATGAATAATCTGCTAATTCCTTTTGAGATCCATTGAGTTCAATGACTCCTAAGGAATCGTAATTCAATATATTCTGAGTTTTCACAAAGTTATGATCATCTTCATAATCAATTTCTGCTTCTGATTCTGATGAATCTTCCTCTGCAGGTTCTCTCCTTGAGAGACCATCAGGAGCTCTATGTCTGGTAGCTGGGACATGTTCCATTTCAAAGTTGTAATAATGCAAATAGGCTATCCACCTAGTCATAGGCATATTTGGCAAATCTGGATTATTTACCATCTGGATAACCAATCGAGCATCAACCTTGATTCGAAAATGAAATCCCCAAAGATGGTGCTTGCAGGCTTTAACTGCTCTAAATACTCCATATAACTCCAACTTTAGTTGTGAATATCTACCTTCAGTCTCACTGAATGTTCTAGATCCAAATTCCAGTGGATATTCAATTCCATCTTCCATTATTTGATACAGAACCCATCCAACTCCAGTCTGGGCACTGTCCACAGCTAAAGTGACTAAGCCTATGTCAGACTCACATTGATCCTTTGGTTCAATTCCTCTTGCTAAGCTAAGGTTCAATGGTTTGATGGCTCCAGACTCTTGGACCGCTAATTTCAAAGTGTCCATAGCTTCCTGAGCTTCATCCGTCCAGTAAAACTCATTGTCCACTTGCTTTCTAGTGTACATAGTCAAAGGCTTTGCTATTATGGCAAAATCTTTAATCCATTTCCTGGCTACACCAACTGTTCCAAGAAATCCTCTAACTTGCGAAACATTTTCACATGGTTTCCACTTCATGATCTTAGATATAGTCCCATGACTCACTTTCTGACCATGAATAGAAACTATTCTTCCTACTAATTCCAGTTCAGGAGTTGCCAATATAAACTTCTTTCCTGAAACTGTTACTCCACTAATTTCTACTCTTGTAAGCAATTCATGCAAA